CACGTGAGGTTGTGCCGAGAAATCAGAGCGTTTGCTGAGCTTACCTATCCTATCGTAAGTCTCGAGAGAAAATCCATGGCTCCGAAGCCAAGGCACAACCTCCTCTGCGGTGAAGTCACGAGTGAAATCTATCTTGAAGTTTCGTCGCAGAACTCTTTTGGAAAGATGCGCGGGCAATAGAGGACGAATTTTGGAGGGAAATCTTTTTTTAGATATACGANAGGAGTTCCGTTTCTGTAGAATATTTCGTATGCTTTACATCCAGTGCCTATCACGAAGCGCGCGCCAGTGACATCAATGGAAAGTTAATATTCTCGTTGTTTTTGCTATTTTTCAAATCAAAGCTACTGAAACATAAAAAACAAGGGCCTAAATTTGCTGTACAACAGTCACCCGCCACGCCCCGCCCGACGAGCTTTATACGACTTTGAATTTCTTGACCCCTACCGATTTTGCGCTATTGAATAGCGCAAAGTCAGGAGGGGGTCTAATTTTTCTTCACGTAGCATCTCTACGGGGCAAAATTTAATGAAGGATTTTCACAAGAAAGGTGTTGAGAAGTGAGGTTCGGCACATGGCTATCTATCAACAGATTTAATTTGACACGTCAGTCTAGACAACATTACGAGGTAAGTATCGAGTGCGCTCTGCGCATCACAATATGTAGAAAATGCATCTTCTCAACGTAAACAAAAATTATGAAACTGACGCCCGTATCGAAGTGTGCGTCGTTTCCTTAATGTTGAGCCAAGCAGGAGCACTTGGAGTAAAGAAATCTTTGAGAAAAAGTAAGAATTATAAGTACGAACCTATGAGAGAATTATTAGCTAGTACGAACATAGGAGTTCTCAAAGCCATTAATCAATCGAGCGATGCCGATAAAGCGCGCGATCGTTGCTGTTCTTATCAGAGTAGGAAAACAGTAACTCTGACACTTAGCAGAGCGTTTTATTTCGTTGTTCCTGCTTCTACATTCAACAGTTACCTATAGCCAGCTGAAAGATGCTACAAATTAACATGCGAGAGGGTCAACGTGGCGAAAAAAAAGTTAATTTGAGATTTTTTCACCCAGTAAAAAGGTTCAGCTATTCCTAAACTGGAAAAAAAATTTTTTGTTTTAAACTGGCCTCTTGGCTGGATTGAGGTGCACTGCATTCTGAAGTATTAAGGATAAGGCTTCCATCTCTTATTTTTGTAAATATTATTCGCCATAACTCCCAGACTAAAAATGTCACCAGCGACACTTAGTCCATGTTGTCCCCCTCTCAACGAGTTCTCCTTCATCGACGTGCTTCTGGATCTGTATTTATTCGCCTGCTGGGATCTGCGATCCTAGCTTACCTCTTCTCTTTCTATCTTTTCGTCTAAGCTTTTGTTTCTTTATTGGCTCTTTGTGAATTAGCCTCTCCTGCTCGTCGCTTTCGTCTTCTTAAAAAAATCGACAACGCACAAATAACTGGAAGTCGGACGCAACGCAAAGTCGCTAAACACTCGAAAACTGACTCCTCTTTATTCAGGTATTTCATTAAGTCAACTTAACTGGAGAAAAATGCTGCTTTTGTGCTCATTTTAAAGAGCACGTTATAACCTGAGAGATCGCTAAACTGCTGTGGAAACTTGACTGCGCAAGAGAGTCACTATTTAGATCTGGGAAGTGACCTGGAAATAATGGTAAACCTCATAACCTACCGCCGGCTTGAATACACATATCCCTTGACGTAGCTTTCATAGAATGAATCTCCGGTTTGAAACACACGCGTGTGAAACTCATGCCGTTTATCAACCAAGAACNCTGCATTTTACTTGGTGCACTTTGAGTTCAGTGCACCCAACTGATTTTTAGGGGTGGTTAGTAATGTAAATGGACACATTGTTATCCAATTCTTGACACCACCACCTGATAATAAAAACAAATAAATAATGTATTTACTGTCAATAATGTAGGAAGTGGTTGCCTGATCTTCTGAGCTGGTGGCTCATGTTAAAAACACTCTCCTCCAGATTGAATTGGAATTTTGAATTGAATTTAATTGAATTGAATTGGTTTTTGTGGAGAGAGGAAAACCGGAGACCCAAGGACCCAGAGAAAAACCCTCAAAACAAGGACAAGATAGTTGCTCAAACCAGCGGCCTTCAGCGCGTCTTTTGCCTTTTTACAGAAAGGGCAGTAGGTCTTGGAGTACATTACGACCTTGTTGTCCCTCACTTGTGCCTTAATGAACTCTAATTTCCCCGACATAATGTACTATTCTTCGCCAATCCTTCTTCACAACTGTATTACTCTTCACGACTGTATTACTCTCCACGACTGCGACTCAACTTTTAATGAAGATATTCGAGAGCCCGCACTACCTATTTATAGCTGACAACAAATTTAGAAATAGATGACTCATGTTTGCTTGTCATTTGTGATTATTCAGACAAGTCACGCAATCTTTAAGCGTTTGGAGTTTTGAGTGGGTTTTCATCTCTAAAAACCGCGGACGTCATGGTTAGAAGGGAAAATGTTTATCCAGTGAATACGCCTGGCCATTGGGTAATTGGTCAACTAAAAATATGTTCTTTGAGAAAAATGGCAGGAAAAAGTCGAGAAAAATATCTTAGTTACAATCGGTTAGAGGCATTAAGTTTTGAAAATAAAGATCTTCAGATACGATGTACACCGTTCTACCATGACAACAAGAAACAAGAGTTTTTAAAGAATTAAATTTTTTTCCAAAAAGGTCGTCGATGAATCATTTGAACACGGAAAAATTCTTAAGATTTGCGGTCACTTGCACGCACATCCCGTGAAACTAAACTTGTTGCCAGAATGAGATTTCCGTGAAACCTGGGCTAACTTGAAAAGGTCCATGGCGATGACTTGTCATATTTTCGTAAAAAGAAATAGAACTCAAGGGGTTAAGTGATAATTTTGGGCCTGATCTATGAGAGCAAAGTTCATTCTCAGAAAGGACAGGGTGAGATCGATCCTATTTTTAACGAAAAGTATTTGCTTCAAAACTAGGAGGGGTGTAACTCAGGGAGTGATTTTGCGGGTAATTACAAATCAACCGATTTGAAATTACGAGCACGCGTGATTATTCCTCAGTGCCAGGTCACAAAGTCGAAAAATGCACTCTGTGTCAAGTTCCCACAATAATTTTCGGTTTAAAAATCGGTAAGTTAACAAGGCTTGCGTTCTGATACAGTTGTTTATTGTTCTTGTATACAAAACCCTCTGGTTATATAGACACTTCATGACAAATACACACTAGTTATCCTGGTATGATTGGAACTTTTACAGCTATCCTAACCAAACGAGAAGGAACATAAACAATGTTCCCGTGATTTTTGTAAGATCTGTTTCTACACGTGATCAATGCCAGTTAATTTTTTTTTTTTTTTATGCATGATGCAGCATGGTGTGAGATCAGCATATACAAGCACTTTAAGGTGTTCCTTTAAAGTTGACGTAAATATTATGAGGTGTTTCGGCTGCAAAATCTCATAAGTATGTTGAACTTCCTACAAGACCTCATTAAGTTACACCACCTGACTGAGTGATCCCACGTGATGCCCACGTGACATATTGTTCGTCTTTTATTTTGCATGCATGTATTTAAACTACAAATTAAAGATTCCCTCTTTCTTCATCAGAGTAGTTATTCAGGTTCATCATATCATGGAGTGAGAATGGTTTAATCACGAATTGTTTAGTCCCCCGTTTACATAACCCTTAAAAAACATCGTTCATGCATAACAAATACACTTTCAAGGGAGGGAAGAGGTTTTTTTTTGGTCTCAAAAACAGGACTCGCGCCTTTACAATGCTTTTAGACCATGTTTT